CAGATGTTGGATCTAAGCAAGAATGCCATTCTGAATGCAAATGAATTGCGCACCAAAAGCATACCTTGTCCTACATTACTGTGAAATCTGCATTTACTTGGGATCTGAAGTCTACTTTTTCTTGTCTTTTGGAGCACAAGAGAATAACCTTTTCATTTTTTAAGTTCAGTACTTTGGTAGGACTCCTAAGTTCATGAATCTCTTCTGTGTTGCAGCTAAAAGAAAAGTCGCATGCCTTCTGCAGGAATTTCTTAGCACTTTTCACCCTATGTGACAGGTTGATCAATCACAACGGCCTCTCTTGGCTGTAAAAAGTATGAATACCTTTAACAGGAGAAGTTTAAGCAGAAAAAAAAAAAAAGAATGCAAGTGCTTTTACATCACAATTCTCCATTTACCTAAACAGACAGGCCATTAAGTTTTGGGTTGCTACCACTGATTATGTTCTCAAACCTAACACCTTTGTCATGGCTGTAAAATAGCTGACATAATTTACTGCACAGATTTTCAACTATAGGTCGTTTTTTGTTGTCAAAATGCTAACAAAGTTCTTCACAGAGGTAAGAGGACAGGATTTTACTTGCAGCTAGGGGGTTTTCAGGAAAGTCAGCTCATTAGAGACAAGACAGTGCCTTGTCTCCTCTGATTTAGAGCTATGCTATCAGGGGCTACTGCACAATTGGACTGTGGCATCTGTTTTAGAAAAAGAAATACGGAACCTGTGTATCACCTCCTGCGTTTCGTGCACGCTGCCTCACCATGAAATATGATCAATGGGTATATACATTAAATATGTAGAGACAGAGAGCCCTGTATGCGAGATGTAAACAGGTCTTGCTGATCCAGGTACCGACGAGTTCTGCATAACCGAGATCTTCCACACCACAAAACTGCAGCACTGCCTATAAATACACTCAACACTTGTTTTTGACAAACGAAATATCCCTCTAGTCAAGACAGCTCACTTACATGAACAAACCGTCATATGACTGGAAAAGATGGAAAAAAATAGCTGTGCCTTGGACTGTTCTTTTCAGCATAGACAGCCAGGAGCTGCATTGACTGGGGTCACTGCTGGAACGACGTGCGGCTGTGGCTGATGTCCCGCGGAGAAGACGGTGGCAGTGAACGTGTTTGGCAATGGAAGGAACTGGAAAGTGGATTATGCCCACGAAATTGGAAAGCACTGTAAATGTTCCTAGGGCAGAGAGGTTCCGAGCGCACGTCGGGGAAAGATGGGCGGCACAGGCACGGGAGAGGTCCAAGGGAAGAGAGAAAGGGACGGAAATAGGCTTCACTTTGTTAAACAGGTGACCAGCTACTCTCACGGCTTTTGTCTCCTCTACGTGCTGATTCGATTTATTTAGAGAAAGACGGGAGCAGAATCTCTTTCCCTCCGCCCCGGTTTCAGAATTATTGCATCTCCTGGGGGGAAGGGTTAGAACTGAGACATTTGGTTTGGAAATGACTCACTCGGCAGCGCTGTGGAGCCGGAGGGTCTATTTTTAATATTTTCAAATGGAGAACTTCCCCAGGTCTCCTGGCCGCGCTGCGCTCCAGCGGCACGGCACGGCACGGCACGGCACGGCACGGCACGGCACGGCAC